CATGATCGGACACACACGGCAATTAAACCGGTCTGTGCGTCTGATCAGCATCCCGGTGAATCTACTCGATGCGAATGCCCGGCGCGCGACTTAAGCTCGCGTTGCTAACAGCTCCAAACACTTCCAGGTCCTTTGCAGTCCAACGATTCGAGGTCTTCGACCTCTTCCTCTCCCCTTCAACAAGAAACTCTTGACAGTACCACCACCCTCGACAGACTTAATTGATTTCAACTATTCTACTCTCATCGCACTTTCGGCGCTGATGCACGAGTCCTGACGTTTCCATCTCGGCGGCAATTTTCCCTTGAATAAACAATCGATCGTCAAGAGAAAATCGTGCCCGGAACGAAAGCGACGGGACGAAGTACGTCGGCCGATTGCTTTCGAACTAAACGAGCTACCGCGACAGGCGGAGCATGGAGAATAAATCTAGTCCGCCTGACAACGACCACACAGTCATTAACAAAACCGGGTGAACATAAGCCACGAAAAAACAGAGTTGGGCAACGTTTTATTCGGATGACGGATGAAAGTTGAAGAGAAAGAATATCATTCGAACAAAGAATCATTCGAATAGATACGCAGAATAATTTACGAAGAATAACGAACGATCGTTAGTCCAGTGAAATATTCGTGCGAAAAGATTTTTCGATTCGGACAATCGACTTCGATAAATATTATTAATATTATTATAATATATCCGAAGGGGAATAATCCGAATAATGTCGAACTCTGCACGAAAACCGACCGAAGAGCATCGATCTAACCGAACTCGTATTTTTGTATGCCTCTGTATGGAAAATAAGTGTAAACTGCGATATTCCTGTGTATGTATAGTAAATATTTATATGTGTATACCCACGTATATCCGAATCTATATATCTGACGCCCCCGTTTGCCTGTCTGTCTGACTGACCTGTCCGTTAAACGGCCCGCGAAAGCAAAAGGAAAACCTGCAGAGAAACGCCGCTCGATATTAATTCGTGAAAATGCAGAAAGCCTATACCGAAAGCATACACTATATGCTGCCGCCCCTACGACTAGTCGAAGAGAGCGATTCGAACGAACGAATTTTGTCGAGAATTAACGCCCCCGAACAGACTGGGAACAAGGTTCGGGGCTTGGAAAACGGACAGACAGACAGACGGACGGCATTTCTTGCTAACTGCGTAGTACCGGTCTACCTGGTAAGCTAGCTGTCGCTGTCTGTCTGTCTGTCTGTCTGTTTCTCTGTTCGTCTGTGTGTACGTCTGTCTGTCTGTCTGTCTGTCTGTCCGTATGTCCGTCCGTCCGTCTGTCTGTCTGTCTGTCTTTCTGCCCAACCACCCTGTTACACCCTTGTACACCTGTTCACGTATTACTATTTTTTAAGGGCGCGGCCTCGAGTCTTAACGAGTCCATTGGTGGATCACCGGCCGCGGCGGGAAATTCGAATATTCGTATTCTCCCGCGCGATTCTTGGCCAGTGCTGTTCGGGATTTCTCGGTTATCTGCACTCTCGAAACCTCCGATCGCTCGAAAGAGCTTAAAGGAAGGTCCAATTTTCATCGGAAATCGTAAGTTACGGTAAATTCTCTGAAATCGTCCCTTAGCTTGTAAACGAAAATGGACAATTTGCGAGGAGGGGATAGGATTTTTCAGCTCATTTTTATAGTTGTTATAGCTATATATCATATATATATATATATATATATATATATATATATATATATATATATATATATAT